CAGCTTCAGGGTATCTTAACTGTCCAGTCTCGTGTCCGCTTCCACCTTGGCAACACAAAAAGGAATTTTCTACAGCGGTTGCATTAAATTATTTTCTGATCTTGTCATCACAGTATCACCTGTTTTTTTGTTATTGTTATTTAATTATTGCTATTTCCAGGTTGACTTGGAAAACAGCCTTGGCTGATTCACCTTTATACTGAGAGTTGTTTTATTTTTCTTCTTTTTGTCTGTTTTAATTGTACTTTTTATGGTGAATGACGATGTATTATTATTATTATTATCAGTATCGACCGTCACTCTAGCCGAGTTGTTCTTTTTTTATAGATTGAGTCCACTCACTACGCCACCCGTGGAAAAGTCCCAGTACATGAACTTAACTTTACAAGAAATACTGATAGTAGGCAGCGCATCAGAACAGGTGAAATTCTCCGAGTTGACGATGGACATGTTTCGAATGATCCAGACCCTTGAACGGGAGCCCCAGGAAGATTTCAACCATATATACGATGCTTCTCCTGCACCTGGTCGAGTTCCATATGCAGTTCCTGGACAAAAAGGGTATTAATTTCTCAATTGTATAATCATTATTTAATAAAAGTTACTAGCAACGCGAGTTAGGCCAGCCGCACATTGACAAGTTAGTAACTTTTTAGACAGACAAATTGAACTCATTACTTCTTTTGAAAACCCTCACATAGGCGATTGTTCAGCTGCGATTTATAATAATAATAATAATTTCTTTATTTTCACAAATTAGTTTGCACATCAACAGTGTGAAAAACATCAATAAATTCAAGTAGAGAAATAATTGGATTATATATTATATAGATTATATATCTCTGGATGTGTATAGGATCATTACATCCACGTCACAAACAATTATTACAAATAATATAAAGNATTTTCAGTTGCTTAATCTGAAAGAATAAAAAAAATACAAAAAAGCCAGTGGCGTTCTGTGCTGCCCACTGAGACGCCACAGGACCTAATAATTTCAATCTAGATCGGGCTATATAAGCGCCTTATTACTTCAAATAACTGTAGCAAAGTTCAACCAAAACGGTGTTCAACCAACTCCGGACATAATTATGTTCATAGAAACTTTTATAGGAATGTAGGCTTTCACGGCTGGCGGCAATATTTTGGTTGGTTTCCAGGTTTTGTTGTGGTGAAGACCAACCAAAGCATATGAACTTTTTTTCTTAAAACGACGTAACGAATCACCCTCTGAAGTTTTGTACCGTAGTTAGGAAACAACCTGTATTTATAAACTGAGGTCAAGTTACTATACAGTTGCCAGTGGGTGGTTGGAATAACTGTACGCAACTTTCAACTGACTAGATAATTTGTTCGAGATTCAGAAGCTATCAGTGTGCAGCTAGCCTTTTTTAAGACAAAACACAAGCACTACAGGAAAATCCTTAAGGCACTCCCAGAGCGGTGCCTGTGCGAAAGTAGTGATTCACATATTGGATTTGTATCGCTAGAGATCGAATCCTTTTGTGAGAACGTTCCTAGAACGTTTATTCCACATAAACGCAGCTCTCCTAATGAAAGAGTTCTTGAACAGTGACGTTCAAGGTGTACTGAGTTGAACGTCAAAACGATGAGCAGCCACAGTCCGACGCGTATTTCTGATATGTACCGCTCTTGGTGGCATCAAATGTGCCAAGTCACTTGAACACCTCCCGTGAAATTATCTATAGAAGCGAGACAAATCTTTAACCTTTCTTCGATGTTCCAGACCATCAAGGTCGCAAGTGATGTTCGCGTCTCCAACTAGGCGGATGACTCTTTTCTGGATGGAATTCAGCAGCTTCAGGGTATGCTTAGGGGCGGGACTCCATACATGAGAACAATACTGCAAAGAAGGTCTGAACTGAGCTTTATAAAGCATCAAAAATTGCTGAGGTGTGTACAGTTTTCTGGTTCGGAACAGTGTTCCAAGCTCTTGTGAAGCGGCTTTTGCAATTCCAGCGACATGATTATGCCAAGATATATTGGTGTCCATTTTAACCCCCCAACAAATGTATCGAGGCAGAAAGCGGAATTGTCAGTCCTGATATTATTATATCCGGTTCGAAGACATATTTCGTGGCATTGAATGGAACCTGGTTACTTTCACCCCAATTCGAAATTACTTCTAGATTCTTATTAAGATACGAAACCTCCTGCTGCCGGTGAAGATGTGCATCCGCCGCTGATGTCCTGGAATCCAAGTTTTTTCTACATTCAATCAGACTGTACCTTGTTGTAATGTAATGCTTGTCATGTTTTAGATCCTACGTAGTGGGGTTGGTTTCCATCCACAATGAACACTTCATCTCGTTCCCGGTATATTTTTCATTCTCCTGTCTTTACAAAAATGTGTATTGCTAGTCAAAAGCAAAGCAAACTGAATTACATGATGTCATCAACAACAAACTATATTATTTCGGTTCCATCTAAAAGACCTCGTGATCCTATTTCCATTTTTCTTGTATATATGTATATATTTTATATTTATTCCTTATGTCTTTTCAAAAATTATTTTTGATTTTTATACATATCTGTGATAAATTCATATCTCATTATTTTTTCACCAAACAATTAAATTGACGTCTACAGTCTACTTCATCTCTTGAAGACGCCAACTTGGTTGGTAAAACGCTCATCGACAAAGGTGTAGCAATTCTGGTGTTTGGGAGTAGTGCTTGTTTTGGATTCGTAAAAACTCTTATGTATTCTTTTTGACCAATATATAAACCTCATAGTTTTGAATTCATACTCAATTTTCATAACAACTTTTTCATTGATTATTTTTCTTCGCGGGATTTTCAAAGTGTTAATTACTGGTAAGACTATTTTTAATTTTTATTCTCTCTTCTGAACTTTTCCGGTTATCTAAATAATCACTTTCTTTCAGGTATTTCGAAAACGGAGAAAGGCCCTTACGAAGGGAAAATCCTCACAAATATCTATTATTCAAGCCAACACTTAGTCAAGTACTAGTATTTTTGGCTAGCGGCTTTAAGGAACTTCCGACTAATGGTGCTTTGTTATTATATTTGTCTGCGGATGGATGCTTTTCGACTACGAAACACCCAGAAGACAGTAAGTTCATAAAACAATAAAGTGGATTTGAAGTGAAATGGGTTATGTTGTTTTCGAAGTCATATCAAGGTGTATCAAGATTGAAATTATCTAAAATATTAAATGAAACTAAAATGAAAGCTGGTTGTCAGTATCAAAATTTAGACATTTTTTTTAACAAAATGAAATCTGACTACAATTTGCCCCGATATCAAGATAATTATGGAAACCTTAACTGGACTCCGGTATGAACATCCATAGCTAACTTTTCTTCTACTAGTTCTTTAGTTGTGAATGAGAAGGAAATTCTTCAAGCAATTTGCATCTCTTAATCTGTTAAAATCTGTTTTTCCGTTAACCAGCTGTCGCCCCCCTACGAACAACAACTCTCAAAAGTCGAAACTTGTGCGAGCTAAGGACTAACGAGGTCTTACCATTTAACCTAACTAACCTAATTTACCTAACATGTCTCGCTCAATCGCCAATAAAACCTTCATAGTTCATAGAATATTAGTCAAATGAGGGCAAGTATCTCAGAGTGGAAGATAAAGTTGTATATACCTTTATTTTGATAAAATCTACTTATCGTAGGATGTCCGCGACTATAGATATAGGTATAGATATAGGTCAAAGATTAAAAAGTCGATATTTCCATACATTTATTGCAAGTATCTCGTTTTCTATGGGTTTTATGCTATTTGTATGAATATTGTATCATTATCGTTTCCGGGTTACTATTTTTAGAGATATATGAATTTCAAAAAACATATATATTTGTTCCAACCGTCCCCATGCCAGGGGCAGTTGAAACATATACAAATAATACAATAAATAATAATGAAACATGTTTTATTTATTATCAATACTAATTATAGATACGAATAATCGTTATCAGTCTTCAAGATTTTAATACTTCTAGCCTTTGACGAGTAGTAAACATTAAAAGAAATCACAAGAAACGATAATAACTTCAGAATAAACTTAACGGAAACATATTTTTGAAAACAAATAAACTTAATAAACTAAATAAAAACATTTCAAAAATCAAATAAACATTAATAATAAAATTAACAGTCTGGATAGACTGAAAGAAAACCTTTTGCAAATCTAATAAACATTGACAATCAACTTAAAGAAAACATTCAGCTCAGAGATCATTTAGAGTCGCAATTGTGGTAAACGTAGCTAAGGCCATCTTCTATACATTCTTCGTGAGCGTACTGTTTACACGAAGTACATTGAATCCACTTTTCTCTGGATCTACTCTGAGAATATGGTGCTAAGCAAACAATACAGTAGCGTTCTTTCTCTTCTGATTCTTCCGATGACAACTTCTGCCGAGTATTATTTTAAATTTCTCTTGAAATTTTTTTTGCCTTTTATTCCGTTCAATCTTTTCTCAACTTGCTTAGCTTTGGTACGTTCCAATTTTGCTTCATGCTCTTTTCTTATTCCTTCTTTCTCTGGTGTATCAGTATAAATAGTTGGTTTTCTAGTTTTTCGCCCTTTATTACGTTTCTTTGGTAGTGCTTTTGGTGATGATCTGACAGCCTCCGGAGTAAAGATGATACGATCATTAGTATTAGTAGAGTGTGCACTTGTTGACGGTCTTAGTGAAATTTCTTGCATACCGATGCTACCAAGTCTAGTTGGTGTATTTATAGTTTCGTCAGGTTCATGAACGTTTACTTGATGGATTATTTGAAGCAGTGAATCATAGATAGCTTGTTGTTCAACTGGTGTTTGGAGAGGCAGCTGTATTTCTTCAGTTAAAAGAGAAGACAATAATGGTGGTGTTCATATTCAGTTGGATTTTCATTGAATATAGGAACAACTGCAGACTCAGTTGTATTTTCCGGATTAGGTGTATCTGTCAAAAATGGGGGAGCATGATCTCAGTAAATAGATTCAGGTTATATGGATAAATTCCCGTTTTGCAAAAGTCAGCTTGAGTGTTGGAAGATGTGATAGCGAGGAGCATAGCAGATGTTACAATCCCCGGTACCTATATCGTATATTGACATGGTTTTTCCTGGATGGTTTCTCATCCACGCATCGCAAGTGGAATTTACAGCCTTCTTTCAGGGGCCATATGCGGATTGATCGAGAGGCTGGAGCTTGTGAGAGCAATGATGAGGTAAGGGCAATAAGACGATTCCATTGTTCTTGCAATAGTCCAGTGTGTTTATGTGTACGTGTGAGAAGTGGTTATGTAATATGAGTAACACTTTCTGTGACGGAAAAACCTTAGAATGATTTTGGAAGTGTTCTAGAAAAGGCAGGAATAGTTCATCTTGCATCCAACCTGAGGTATTTGCGGTTCCAGCTGACCCTATTGGCCTATCCCTAACAAAATAGTCTTGGTAATGTACTCGCCGAAATACAAAAAATGGTGGGAAAACATTTCCAATGGCGTTTACTGCAAAAGATTAATGTCACTAAAGTACCCCTTTCTGCTGAAGTTACTGAACCAACTTGACGAGCACCAACGTCTAGCCTTAACTATGTCAGGTTTTTGTGCGGTGGTTATGCCGGTTTCATCTGTGTTATATATATCTTGGGGCTCGAAGTCATAACGGTCCATGACAATGGACGTCTACGTTAGTCTTATTAAAGCTCTTATTAAAGCGCGTACTATCCATACGCGCTTGTGCGGCGCGTACGGATAGTTCAGAGTTCCTTTTCATAAACATCTGAAACCATTCCCCACCAGCCATTCCTTTGTCTTCTCAAGTTCGGGGTCATGATAAATTATACTTAATGGTGAGTTCGTAAGCTAATGTTCTCACCTTTTTCTTAAATAGTCCGAAATGTATATCGAATCAAATATTTTGATAACTCTAAAGCACACACGAGTGTGTGCTTTATATCCCATACCTTCATCGTCTTTGCCGGACGCTTCTCGCTTTCGAATGTATCTTAACAGGGAACAGGGGAACACGGTTCTCAACCGTGTTTATTATCAAGTTCGGACTTGGTTAGAACATGATTTAGAACCCTAGAATTGGGGTTGGATAATGCATGATGAATCTCTGAAACCTGTTATGACAATGAATCCACCAGCTCCGGAGGGATTACTTATCACAATATTCTGCAACTGCAAGAATAATTGTGGTTCGCGATGTAGTTGCAGGGTTGCAGAGCTCTTTAGCTTGCGGCCATTGTAATGGGCAAGCTTGTCTTGATGTTTCATCTCAGAGTGATATCAATAAAGACGATACCTTTGACCCCGAGATGGTGTAGTTCATGTTGTTACATTCAACTGATGTTTTCAATTTTTAATTTTTAATGCTGTTTCAGTTGAGTTTTTAAAAAAAATAGAACTCTGTTTTTTACACTTTCACGAAAACTTTTTCAGTTTCAGTGTAAAATTTCTCAAATGAATGATGATATTTATAAATAATATTATGCTCATATACATTGACGAGTTCTAAAAAGTAGAGATATTATTTCAATATAACTTTATTAGCATAAGAAATAGGTATTAGAGTAAGAAAAATATTTTCTCATTATTTTCGAAACACATCAAATTTGTAAAAGACCTAAATATTTGAATAAAAAAGGTAAATTCCAAATTTAAAAGTAGAGAAGTGTGATTTTTTCTTTCCAAATGACGAGTTTGTTAGAAAAATGAATTTGAAAAACCGATATTGAATATACTTTTTGATGAACGTTTCAAATTTTCCCCTCAGATTCACAGATAAACATGTTTCAATAGCATTTGAACTTTCTGGAAATTTGATCCTATACTATACTTCTTTCGTTTAATTTTTTGAAAATAAGAATCCTTGAAGTAAATGTTCAAGAGGTAGCAAAAACGAATGTGATTTTCTGGTACTAGCGTTTCTTAATATAACTGATAACCAGTCCGTGCAAAGTTTATTGTTAAATCATCTGAAAATGTAACTATTAACAGGTGATGATCAACTGTATTGCCAAACTAACTGACTATTATAAGAAAACAAGTATAGCTGTACCAGTCAACCTAATAATAACACTGATGATCTTCAAACATGACTCAACCTCTGACGGAAGCACCAAACTCTTACGAAGGTTCGAAATAGATGATCACTTCAATCTAGCAGACCACTATTATAATATTCATGCAGTCATTGTTCACTGTGGTTCTAGCGTTAAATCTGGTCATTATTACGCCTTAGTCAAAGACGAAACAGACTGGTTTAAATTTGACGATAGTAGTATCACTAAGTGTTCTGGCGATGTCTTGAATTTATTGAAGCCTCACTAGAGATACCCTACATCTTGTTCTACGAAAGAGAGGAAATTGGCAAATCAAGATCTTCAGATGATGTGGTGCTGCAGGTTTTTCCGGGTTTTCCTGCAGTTGAAAAAGCAAATGCGCCACTGGAATCAATGAAGTCGCCCCGGACCGCCAATTAATTTTTGTTGTTTCATAATTTCATGATTTGTATGTAGTCAACTGAAATTGGGAACAGGGTTATATAATATTGTGTTCATTTAACATCATCTCATCTGATATAGAATTTTGCCTGTAATTGTGAAGTCATTACCAACGAATTATCTAATTCTAGAATTGTTTAAAATATTCATTTCTGAATGTGTTCACAATTATGGGTCAAACACTTTCAGAAGTATCAAAAAATCATTTTTTCAAATTATCAATATTTGTCACCTTCCTTTTTTTATTCTCTGCCGACAGATATTGAAAAATTACATCATTCATCTCATGTGTTGAAATGTTGAATCGTTGTTAAAATGTGTTTGTTTGTTTTGTTTAAAAACGATTTTATAAAAACACTAAAGTTCATCCTCACTTCTTTTGTTTGTGCCTCTACTGTGATGTATTAATTATTATTATTATTATTTTAACAAAAATAACAAAACTGACTGCAACTTTAATTTTTTGATTGATTTGTTATGAAAAAAAAGTGCTATAAATATAGCCATTCTATATTAAAGGACTATGCTGGTAACGACTAATAATTCTTGTTTAGCTGCTTGAAATGTGTTCGATAATAATGCCACGCGGTTAGTATTAAAAATAGAAGAGGATCAGTCATCCTTCAAAATCGGTAAATGTATAAGTTAATTGAATTTGTGAACCCAGTAATGCATCGATGAATCCATTTATCCTCCGCAACTACAACAAATATTAACCTTCCTATCGATCAGCTGTACAGAGTGTCCCAACAAAGAAGCTTCCTCTCAGTTGTAATTTCATGGCGATGAAACATGTATTCTGGTCCAACTCAACTCAAAAAAAAATTAATAGGAAGGTTTTTCGCTGAATACTGCATCTTTACCTACAAAAAAGTACATTGAATTCTATGTTCATGTCATATTTTTCAAACCTTTTTCTTGTGCTGTTCAGAATGATCTTATATATTCGACTATAACTTTGATCAGAAATTGAATTTATGAGAAATATATAGTAACTACATTTAAATCAATTTTTAGTGGGCTACGACCTTGGTGGTGTTTTGACCAGTAGTAAAAGAGATGGTGAACACAAGAAACAAAAAGAAGCTCACTGCCTATATCCTGGTGATTTATATCCATTCACAAGGAGACCGTTATTCGTAATAGTGGATTCGGATAATAGTTTTGTTTTCCAACATATTCCTAGGTATTTTGGCCAGCCTTTGGTCACTCTTATGTCACCTCAAGATACACCACCTGCTTTTCAAGGTAACAGTTTCAGTATTCTAATGCTAAAATGGTTTATATTATAATTAGAACATTCCAACTAAAAAAATAGTTTTTTCACAAAAAACACCCATTAGTGGGCAGTTCTAGAATAACAAATTCCTTTTCTGAAGGTGTCAAAAGTCTAAAATTCTGAAAATGGACATTAGTTTTTGATATATTTCTTCCAACAGTAATAATCCCTGTAAAGTTCCAGCGAATATTTTCAGTTCTCATCTATTAATTTAGCAACATTTTTGGGTTCAGTCATGAATACACCGGGTGACATCCAAATCATTATACATGTCGCCATTCAGTTATTTGTGACATTATAAATTTGAAATTAAGTACAATGGTACAGGTCATTAGATCCAAAATTGACGTCTTATGTTCAAACAAGTGTACATACTTTTCATTTGTTTTAATGAAATGCTATTTTTCACTTCATCTATCTGTGAAATCTTAATAGAAAGTACTATTTTTTAAACGTTAACATTAAAGTGTACCTCTTGTGCTACAAAAAAATATCAAAGATACAAAGCGGTTCATTTTTTGTGCCAGTGAAAAAGTGAAAGTTTCGAAGCTTTATTTCATTGTGAATTAACAACTATTTAGTCACTTAGTCACAATGTAACGTATAGTTTCTTCTATGTCGCCATTTTGAATAGAAATGGTATTTACATCGATCAGAACAGAATTTTATATCATTTCAAATAGTCTACAAATATATACAGGGTTCTACTTGAAATTACTAACTTGGATTCATTTTCGGTTGAACCGGAACAGGTTTTCAATTGTTTTATAATGAGAAATATCGGTTCCAATAAACTATACCTTCGTTTCTAATTTCAAATTTCTTACGACACAAACAACTGAATTTCGTTGTCACCCGGTATATGTTGAGTTACGAGTAATAGTGAGTGAAGTATGATTATAGCACAGAAGAATAATACAACTAGTACCACAGATATTTAATCTGTGCCAGTACTCTTACCACGTCATCCGTCCGAGTTGCCAGGGACCTTCAACCGCTCTTAGGATGAGATTCTCGTCCAACTCGTTCAGTGCTGTAGTATCAAAGGATTCGACGGTTCCACGGGCATCGGATTAGTTATAATAAACGGTCGGAAATGTATATTGTGTTCAGTGTATTCGCTGTTGTTATTATTGCTTTTAGTTTTTGTAGTTAGTTATAAGTACCTTAACACAAAATCTTCCATAATATCTTCAATTTCATTTTTATATGAGCGCACGCACTTCGTTTCGAAGTCACCGAGAACTTTGTGAAATTATGAATGAAAGTAGTGATAGTGGACTTACTTCTTGATTTTTACTATGATTATAGTGTCTCTACTTTGAATTGTAGACTCTAAGACAGTAATTCCCAAAGTGGTCGAGATGGTGTTTTTATTTTCAGAAGTTTCATTTTATCAAAGGGCTCTTTTGTTTTTTCATTCGCCAAGTGCATGTTATACTTAAAGTCATATACGACTAATATAAAACGACATGATCACTACTATATTTTGTGAGTACTATGGCTAGTTTTCTAAAATTCATAGTGGGAAAACAATTGGCTTCTACTCTTATTTCATTACGATGTCAATTACATAATTTAGTAATCTCATATGATAGCAAAGAACCCTGGTTCTATAATCTTATGTATACAGGGTGTTCCAAATTAAGTCGACACCATTGCCAACTCCGTTATTATTGATGCTACGAATTCGGTTGACTTATACTAATAGCATTTTTAATGGCCTTCTCGATGCCGAAAACAAAAAAAAACATTGACAGTCGCGTTTTCAAAATATTTCATAAAATGATTTGTTTTTAAATGAAACACCCTATATTTTATATACAGGGTGTAACTGAATAAGTGTAAAACATTCAAGGAGCTGATTCCTCATCGAAAAAAAGATAGAATATTTCATATAAAGAAACTTCATTGAAGCAACACGTAGTGTCAAGAGAAGGGCCCAAATATGTGTTCAACAAGAAGGTGGTGTTTTCGAATATTCACTTGATATTGTATAGCTCTTTATTCGCCAAAACAAAGATTTTTTGTACTAGTGAAAGAAACAAATATTTCTACATAAGTCGCTCATTTTCAACTTCAGGAAGAAAGGTGATGTGAGCTTTTTGTTGTTGAGAATGTTATTACGAATCGAAATGTATGATAAAATATAGGGTGTTCCATTCAAAAAAATTTCATTTTATGAAATATTTTAAAAACGCGACAGTTTTCGGCATCAAGAAGGTCATTAAAAGGCTACTAGTTTGTCCATTTAACCAAATTCGTAGCGTCAATAATAACGGAGTTGGCAATGGCGCCGACTTAATTTGGAACACCTTGTATACAATAACGTAATTTTCCAAAGTACCTACTCCAAAATATCACTTGCTGAATCCAACTTGTGCTAGAAAATATCTCGGAAACTAACAATTTTCAGCCGTTGATACTTTTGATTAAAACGCTTAGAATTACCTTCTTAACAAATGTTCAGCTTATTCGTCAACCTCCATTGTCCATCAGGATTGAAACTTAGTGTTGATAAGTATATCTATGAACATTTTTCAGATCAACAACATAACGGCTCCCTTTTTACATTATTTCTCCATTCGCCATTAACTGCGTTTTGTTACTGCTGCAACTTAACAAGTATTCCAATTCACCACTGGGAAAGGTGTCAAAGTTTCGTGGACCGATTCGTGACGGAAGCCTCTCGCCTTTTCACAAGATCAAGAGTGGGTGAGTATAATGAAGGTATGTTTTATTTCAGAACTGCGAACTTTTTGCAGTATTGCAGCTATAGTATGCTCAGTATATATAGTAACTCAGAGCAATGAAATATCTAGATTGCCGTATACAACAGTACCCTAAGAACGAAACACAATAACTAGTAATTACAACTTTACCTAAGAAAAATGTCCGGTTATCATGCGCATGTTAACAAACAAAACCTCAATTATTCTTCATTTGCTATTCAACTATAATACTAAAAATATTACTATATAAACAAAAAAAAACACTCTTTCATCCATTTTTTCTATTATTATAATTGATGCAGATTTGAAATAATCATTCTGAAATTTCATGGGTCAATGAAAGCTGTAAATATTTCAATTTGGTGTATGCTCATTTTCGTTTTGACCCAAGCTCTTAGTTATTGGTTAAATGTTGGCCAACTTTCTAGGCATAGCTCTCAGTCTTAGCACAGAATACCTTACAGAAGAGACACGCATCCGGCGGCAATTTGATATTAAGGGGTCAAGGTTCTGTGACCTATATTCTGTGATCGAGGTGTTTTCAGCCGGTAAATTCAAATTATTTTGAACTCATCAGATAAATATAATTTGATTGCAGTCAATGAATAATTAGAAGTCATTTCTGTAGGTTGTTAGGTCAACATCACTCGACGTGATTCTCAAAAAGGTCATGGTTTCTGTTCCGTGCTAAGTATCCCATCTGTAAGGTATTCAATGATCTAGTCAAGTTTCTCCGTCGGCGGTCTATGTCGAAGCTTGATTGAGTTCTCTGTCGATCCCTTAGATGGCGTCTTCGTAAAGGTAGATTTCATCACTCTTACTCGAAACTACTACTTTCAACTCAAAATTTCGATTTAAATCTCGAGTTTGAAGTCGAAATTTCGAGAGTGAAGTCGAACCTTCAAGTTTTAAAGTCCCAATTTCCAAAAAACAAATAATAAAAATACGTGGCCCGTCTCCGCTTCCGAAATCTATATATTTAATGTCAAGTTAATGAATGAGCCTTAGAGATTAATTTGTTTATCGACTACCAGGAGAGAGTGGGGTGATTACTTCAGAGAGAACAATATGTGTTTCAATGCATTAGTCAATCTAACGTATATGATGAAATGGGGACCCTTATGAAAAGAATGAATGACGAAAGCGCTTTTTTCAGATACGATTTTATTTTGGCTCTGTGGGTACGTAAATAAACAATTGTTTGATATGTTTCAGTGAAAACTGAGTATGGCCAGAACTATTTATAATATTTTTGCGATATAAATACTTTTTTCTACTTTTCTACTGTTATCTATCAAAAACTTGTATTTTTGGTATTGCATTCTATCTTAAATAACGTGTGTTAAGGCTCACAACAAATGACGACCAAGAATAAACGAAAGTAAAGAACTGCCTCTCCAGAGAATCATAAATCTCTATTGGCTCTTTCAAGTTTTGATTCAGGTTTCTGCCTATTGCAGAAATTCGCCAAAATAAATGTCTGATAGAACGATGAAGTATTTATCTTTTTCTTTTCAAACTATCGAAAATATCTATTATTACTATTCATGGGCTATCAATACCCAAACTCACATATCTATGTAACTAGTGACTGGTTTATTTATTCAGATTTTGTTCCATTATTGAATTTACTAAAATGTTAAAACATAAATCAATCATTGAATCGCATGAATATGTCCTCCAAATTTATTTGCAGAAGCATCGTACTTGCAATTCTTCGGCGACGACTTCCTACGTTTACTCCTGCTCCGCTACGTGTTCTGTGATGTGGTGTTACACCTACATAGGGCCTTTAAAGGCCGCCAATACCGTCCCCGATGCCAGCCTCCCCTTCCCGAAGCGGAGCTACTTGAGCACCCGTCTCTGCAGCACCTCGTATTGGACCTCGCGCTGCACCTAGAAGTTAGAACCCACTTCATGGAGAGCCACGAAATCGAATGATCCAGGTCTTCCTCCTCATGGCCATGTGTGGGGTTTAGTGATATTTGGAGGTCTTCTTCACGGCACACCCATGAGGTTGAAGTCGCGGCCAGAGGAAGATCCTTGAGGCAGACCGTAATGCTGATCGCCTTCGCTCTAGTGTTTCTGCTTACACATACGCGTTTCTTGTGGATAGCCATCGAACTTCTGCAGTTTTTTTGGACTCTTTACTCATTTAATGACAGATTAAGTCGCAAATACTACCCAGTATTAGTCAATATGTTGATCAGTATTAGGGTTTCGACATGCCTTAGTCTGTGCAAGATAGCATCGTCCAGATGTAAATCGTCACTTCACTGGACTTCTTTAAGGAACTCGAATAATCTATGTAAGGTGATATTAACATAGCTCGAAATGAGCTTGGCGTCTTTCAAAATTCCGTTCACTTGTCGAATTATCGTTACTAATGTCGACTTTCGGACATTACTACAGAATAAGTACGTTTTTAACATTGCCATCTACCTGTTATCGTCATCCTGAGTCCCATGTATCATAAATACTCTCCTCGTTCTGAATCTATGACCAACAGTGATCAATAAGCCTTCACGTACCGAATACGATGATACGTCTTAACTTAACATTAATATTGATCGCATGAAGTTAGAAGTAGAATAGTATATTCAATAACAATTAAAAATTCACTCGTCACACAATTAATTGTAACAATTGATATTTAATGGCACTTATTCGCTCATTATACAAAGGACTCTTCAGATTTTCAATATTCGGCCAGATGAAATTTTATTCAGTTTACGAAAATAGGAAAAAATCAATCCTTCAGAAAAAAGAAAGGTAATTTAAACGTTGCTTGCGAGCATTTGTGAGCCTAAGAGTTTTCTCAAGTACCTAGTCATCTAAAAATACCTCCAAAAGGAATGGTACAGTGAAGTAAAATTTGACTAGGCGCCAAAGTAACTCCATTTAGTCCCATTAATGAAAAATATTTCCTCTTCATGTTGAAAATAGTCAATCTTGAAATATGGATCGTGAAACCTATATTCAGGGCAACGAAAACTATCAGAGAGAGTATAAAGTCATCTGAAAGACTTCAGAGAGTCTTTAGCAAACAAAGAAAAAGGTGTGAGCACTTAATGAACACAAGAGAAAGTGTCGCCTCACTAAAGACAATCACATTATCTTGTTCTGAAAATCACAAACTCTTGACGAAACTCAGAATTACTATGCGATAGAAATTCATGAATATAGAGGCATTTTTATTCAAAAGAAAGAGGGGAATTAACACAAACGAAATCTGGCTACCTTATCTGAATTGTACACAAATTTGGTCATTAAATCCAACCAATAAGAACGAAGTCACACGCAGTACCGATGCAATAAAACTGTAGACGCATCTCAATCAGTATTGTTCCTGATGTTACTTCAGTAATAAAACGTTACTTTTTGTCGTTCAAAATTAGGTACCAAGTTATGTTCATACCGGTTTTTGTTACCTTTTAAAAAGCTTTCAGTTGACAGTTTATGCATCAAAGAACTGACAGTTGACTCAAAACTAACGGTGTCACCTCAGCATTTGTATCGTACCCTAGTTAATGTATCGAAACCGACGGTTGAAGAGCATTTGTTAGTTTTGATACGTCGACTATCATTTTTGGAGATTGTTGCCAACCTCTCGTGGTGACGCTTGTGTGCTATTCATTCGGAATTTCTGTCAAATCTGTTACAAAATTTGGTTCGATAAGGAACAACACTGATTCCAATTATATAGTATCTACTCTGAGGCAACGAGAGCATTTCATTCATTACTTCATCGCTTTCGATAATGTATTCGTCGTAGACGAAACGTCAGTCATAAAAACTCTACAGAACGTGACCAGCAAATCAGTACCTATATCCTCAATATTTTTGCATTCTCTAGTTAATATATACAGGGCTTTTTTTTTATCAGAGAATTTATTATTTTATATATGAAGGCTTAACGAATATTTTGTTTTAACCATTCTAATTTCATAACATTGGTGAAGAAAAAATATACATTAATTTTGAAGAGTTCTTTGTCAAACGCACGTACAGATTCTGATAGTCTTATCAACTGGAAAGAAATATTGTTCCCATATATCCCATATAATTTTTCTTCCATCATTGAAACATAATTTCACACTACTGAGCTAAAAAACTTTTGATTACTGAATACCTAATGAAGGTTATACTTTCCAAATGTTTGGCGTTACCCATGTTACAATTTTCAGATGAAATTTTGTTCAAATACTGTACATATTTTATCAAAGTTAAGTAATTGATAATTAATTGTAGACTAATCGACGCCTCTGCGAGGAAATTCAATCCAAATAATGTGAGGAAACACGTTCCAACAGATTAACGTACATTTGGTCATTTCAGTGTTCTTGAAGACATTTTTGAAATAAAATCTTAATTCAATGCATCTTGGCTAATCAACTATTTGTTTACTCGGGAATGGTTTAATACTAAAAAACATTGAAAAAATTAGTAGTACAAAATAATCTATACACTTTTTAATGAATTCATTTTAAAATTATCTTCACTTAGTTCCTTTTACTCTGAGATAGCAGTTTTCATTCCAAATAATGAAATCACCCAAACTATTTGAAAAAGAAAGTTTTAGTACCCCTGGTGAGAGAGAAGTTAGAATAAAACCCTTTTTCTCCTTTTTTATACTATTTTCAAGACAATTTTTTCTCATTTTTCAGTTGCAATACTCATTCTACAAACAACTTCAGAAAAAATTAACTTTTTTCACTGAGTTTTGAAAGTAGGCCGCCAATTCCCACGAACATGTGACAAATTTTGATTGAACAGATTAAATAAAATGAAAGGACGTGTTTCCCTAATGAAACATTGAATATTCCAAGCATTCGCTTGTCCCATTGGCGAATAGTGAAACTAGAGAAATTTTTCAACTGCCTGCACACCACGTAGAATGTTTACGATATCTCATTATATTTTCAATGTAGGACTTCAAACTTTCAATCTGATAGTACTATCGAATATTTTGAAACATTTCCAATATTATTTCGAATAATATTTTCAAAAGCCTTCATGGTCCAAAAATCATAAATCCTAAGTCATGAATAGATAAAGTAAGATTGAATAATATGTGATTGTATGTTTGAACGAGACGTACAATCTGAATGCGAAATACAACAGAAAATGTGGTTGAGTGTAAGAGTAGCTCACACTAAACATCACCATATTAAATAAAGGCAATTTATCATTATCATTAGTAATGTTATTATCATTATTTCTTTCAATAATGTATTCAGCCTATTTCACTTTGAATGACCTCGTTTATCAACAAGGACTATACATAACACGAAATATCGTTCAATGCAATAGACACCAATGAAATGGAAAACTAATGACTTTTTTGAACTCCACATTGTCTGCTCACTTTATATGCAAGTTTAGGTATTAGGTTTTTTTGATATCATATTCTTTTATTGTTTCCAACATTCGATACTACCATTGGTCTGTTACTATATTTGTGAAATTGTCTAGATAAAGTTGGGTATCACAGAATTCTCAGATAAATTCCTAATATACTTTACTTAAGACTTAAATATAATTATCAGTCTTTCATCAAGTTTTTGACTTGTATTCGTAATTTTCTAGAAAAAATGTATTCGGTTCACATGAGATGTCCATCTTTATTTTACCAATATTCGCTTGCCTTTTTATAGTTTTTGTATGAAATTATAAATTAAAGTAATAATTATTATATTTGGAAACAAAAACCAAGAATGAATTAAAAATTAATTTTATAAAAAATATGCTATTTGTTAAACATTTAAATATATTGGAAATGGAACCTTTTTCATTCTTCTATGTTGTATATACTTTCTTGTGGAAATTTTAAAATAAACCTATAACAAATTATAAATACTTATTACTGATTAAAATTGGTTCAAAAATAAAAGTTTCACAAATTTCAGTTTAATGTTTTAATTAAACAACTGAAAAAATGGCATCACCATATGTTAAATTCTGTTTTTTCGTAACAGCTGTCGCCCCCCTAAGAACGACAACTCTTATTAGATGTCGAAACTTGTGCTAGCGAATGATTAACGAGGTCTTGAGTTTTAAAGTGCAATTCCTAGCACTCAATCCAAAACTGTTGAAGAAATTACATCGAACAAATTATTAAAATATTGAAGAAAAAATGTGAACTTGGGAAAATAGATACCATAAAGAAACCTAGGGGAGAGTGCATGATATCAAGCATTTATCCCCTATCCAGCATTTATCCCTTATCCAGCATTCATCCACTTTCAAAAAAATAATGGAATGTGTGAAGGATCTAACTCAAATGGAAAACGTTTATAGTAACATTTCACATATGAGAGTGAAATTCAACTGAAAAACTTATGATTAAACCTAGGAAATAGATCAAATACCCATCGATGAAGTTCATAAAAAAAGGAAAAGTTCAAGTATGACTTTTAACTTTGCAGCTGACTGATAAGGATGATAAGGAACCAGGTAACTTTGCATTTTAAACCTTTTTTTAGAGATTACATAATAGTGGTGTTGACGCTGTTTGGCGGATGAGTGTAACCTGCCATACACAAGGGCAAAACACAAGCACTACAGAAAATTTTTTAAGGTGCTCTAGGAGCGGTGCCTGTGCGAAAGTAGTGATTCACATTGGATTTGAATCGCTGTAGAATGAATCCATTTTGAAAAACATTCTCAGGAAGTTAATTCCACATAAACGCAGTTCTCCAAATGAAAGAACAGTAAAGTTCGACGCGTACTGAGTTGAACCTCAAAACAGTCTGTCGCGTATTTTTGATATGTGCCGCTCTTGGTGGAATAAAATGTGCCAAGTCACTTGAACACGTGAAAGTATCTATAGAAGAGAGACAAATCTTCAGCCTTTTTTCGATGTTCCAGACTATCAGGTTTCACGTGATGTTCGCGTCTTCAATTAGGCGGATGGTTCTATTCTGGATGGAATCCAGTAGCTTCAGGGTATGCTTTAGGGACGGAGCTCCATACATGAGAACAATACTCCAAAAAAGATCTGATCTGAGCTTTATAAAGCATCAAAAGTTGCTGAGGTGTGTACAGTTTTCTGGTTCGGAACAGTGTCCCAATATTTTGAGAAGCAGCCTTTGCCATTTTGCCAGACTAACTATCACCAGACTACCTCCAGTTTTTATTTCTAGAGCAAAATCAGTACTTACCAACTAATGCGCTTACCCTATTTGTAAACTTGACTCGCCTCATCAAACAATAAGATTCATCTCCAATAATTTGAAGTTGTCGTCTCTCGGAATACATGGTCAAATACATTTTCAATGTTTTTACACCGTCTTCATCGTTTTTTTTTTTGTAAGTCATTCTGATCGACAACAAGATTCACTGCGTTTAAAAATGTTATTTAAATGTAACAGATTCAAAAATCAATGCGTACTTTTTTCCTCGCTTTGGTCATTAGGCTTGTATTTTTAGTAGGAACCCCAAGCCACCTAAGGATTATCATGACTATTCGCAGTCCGTCAACCATGTACCATCGGGTCGCTTAATGTTTCTGGGTTTATTATCCAAGATTGCAGGTTTTCAGACTTGACGTTTCATCCGATACTGCGGCAGACAATATCAAAGGCAATGCGTCAATGGTCGAAGTGATCTATCTTTCTGTTTGCACATCGCAGCCTGCTGACCACGGCATAATACACCCGGATAGATCCGACAATTTGTCATATAATAAAGTTGGGACAAAATAAAATAGATTGTACAAAATTTCTGTTTTTTCACAATATTTCAGGAAATACTTCAAATGTATAAACTTCATGAGCGACATTCTGTTAATCACATAATACCCAAAAAAAGGTCGAAAACAAATTAATATCATGATACATCAATCAACGATGAGAAATTAATATGATTATGGTTGATTGATTACTCTCTCAAGCATTTTTATCGTGTCAACGCGATTATCATCATAAGATATTCTGTGCTCGTATTCTTAGTATGTTTTATTATGCGAATAGTATCAAGGCTATTCGCAGTTCCGTCAGTCATGTAACTTGAACTACTCAAATTCTCGTAGATTACTTTCGCCATGGTCGAGGTGCATTCAGAATATTAGCAACTTCAAAATTAAGTTATTCTGACTGAAAGTCTCATCAAAATTTGAATTGACTGGTTTGAATCAGTAAGCTGAATAGCCTTATAATTGGACCGGCCCAAACCCCAATTAACGAGGCCTACAGAATGAATAAATGGAAGAGGAAAATGTGAAACGTCAACTGTCATTTGTCTTTTTGATATTTTTATACCATGTTGTAATAAACTTTCGAAAAAACATTTTGAAAATGACCTATTTGAAATCATGGGAAGAATTCGAAAAGGCGGCTGAAAAATTGTATTTACAAGGTCCGTCCAAAGTGCGGTATACCATGAAATACTTACATTCAAAAAATAAATTAATATTAAAAATGACTGATGATGTAGTGGTATGTGCACACAGGTGTAAATAACCAATCACAATTCAACAGAAAATCCACTTTGTTTTAGTGCCTACAATTTCAAACAGATGTTGCTCAGGATGTTAGAAAAGTAGATAAGTTCATCAATAATTTATTACGCCATATGGTATCCAAGGAGCAGTAATTTTTTCAAACATAATGAACATGAGCATTTTCGAGGGATATTGGTTGTCCTTTCTGGAAAAAAGACTCCAGAAGTAATTTAACAATTTTGTATTGAATATCACTTCATTTGAAATATATTTCATTTTGTTATTTCGTTTATATTTGACTTTGACTCTGATGTTCCCAAAATATATCAGAAACCCTTGTCTTTTCCCCATTGAGCAATGAATTTATGTAACTCGGTTCTTTTCTTTGTTTTGATATTAGTTGGAGCTTCGCTAATTTTAATGTTATCCAAATGATTATAATCTGGATAATGTTACCAAGATTTGGTACTGAGGACCTGATAAGTGAAGTGTCTTACGGCAAAACATCAGCTGTCTACCAGTGAGGATGACAGCGTTTCATGTAAGTGAAATTTTAGCTCTCTCATTTACCATATTCAATTCCATAACGAGTGTTTGGAATACAAACTGATTAGAAAAAAATGTTTTTATGTATAATTCAGTGTTCGTATAAAAGTATTTGTTTCAAAAGTATTTTTCTTGTATAATTCAATGTTTATTTTGCATGATCTATACATCTTTGTATAGAATTACATTTTTTTGAAAGATTCCCACTTTTTTTGTATCATAGAGAAGTAGAAAGCCAAAACCTTTCTTTCCCAACGAATTGAATCATCTTTTATTCTTGAGGTTTACACTTGCGTTTAAGCAGTTATTTTTTTTCAAGTACTTTTCTTGGTTATTCACATATTGTCTTCAATCGAGGACGGTACTGACGATGCCCAACAGCTGTCTAACGGTGGCTCTTGAATTGAAATAAATATGGGAATGATCAGAAAAGTATTCATCTTTTGATTTTCATGAAATTATTTTCCAGCAGCTTAACTGCATTAACCTTTCTCGATTTCATATCATTTCAAAAGGAAGCCCACATCAATGGAGGTGTCTTATACTGTATTAAAGCCAAATTCAAACCAATACTTATCTCTAAGTCACGATCTGTTGTGTGTACATAACATCGAAAGCGAATTCTATTGTAAATGAACAGTTTTCTGAATCCCTGGAAAATTGTAATGATCTCAACGCCACCGAAAAGTTGTTAGTGGGTGACTTCAACGTCTCTGAAATAACATTCAAAATATAACTTGAGAAACGGATCATCAAAAGCAAGATTAATCCATTCCATCATGTGTGAGTATGATCTATATTCCATAAATGATATCTCTAATGGCTCTAATACTTTAGGCTTAATATTAACAAATATCACGGAAGCGAATATTTTGCTACTTTCTCCAAATCAACTTTCATGAATAGCGGTGTGCCGGTAAACCCCACACTAGTTTCTGAGTATGACCTAGACATTATTGAAATTAGTGATATTAGGGAACAAGAGATTGAAAATGCTATTAAGACACTGAAATCCAAAGCAGCCATTAGAATCGATAGCATTCCAGACTACTTTTTCAAGACTTACTATGACTTGTTAAAGCAACCACTGACTGACATTGATATTCAATCTTTCTCTGAAAAAAAATCATTTTTCAAGCTTTCTCATAGTTGACAGAGATATTTGAAAGGGGAATATATAATCAAATAGACGTTATATACACTCACTTGGATAAGGCATTCGACAGAGTTAGCCACGAGGTTTTGATCCTGAAATTAAAAGCATTCGGCTTCACAAACAACACACTTGATTTCTTTCACTGCTATCTATCCAAAAGAATACAGTTCATACAGTTCAACAACGTATCTTCGTTCGAATTCACCGCTACTTCGGAAGTTCCACAGGGCTCGATTTTGTGACCTCTTTTTCATGTTATTTGTGCCGATGATCTCAAGCTTTTTAGAAGAATAGAAAGTGACAAAGATTCTGATATGCTTCAAGATGATCTCAATAATCTATCTACTTACTTTTCAGTATCTGGCCTATCTCTCAACGAAGCTTAATGCAAAATAATGAGTTTCACACGAAAGAAGTCACCCACTATCAAGGACTAGTACATTAATCACACCAATTTACAGAGAACCAATGAGATCATTTTTACTGATGTGTTCAGCTTCTCTCGGCACATTTAATACTTAGTATCTGAATGTTATAGAAAAATGAGCTTTGTATTAAGATCTAGCCATGAATTCAATCACGATACTTGTTTGTCTAATCATGAACCCCTCGATAGAAACAGGAATTTTCCCAGAGTCCTTAAAAGTAGCGAAGGTGATTCCCTTATATAAAAAAAAATCAAAAAAATTACCAGAAAACTGGTAATTTTTTCACCGAATAATAAATTCAAATAAAACAAAATTTCCAATTTTTTTTTCAATTCAACTGATACTCGTCTCGAATTCATTTCGATAATTGAAGAAACTCATAAATGTATCACGCATTTCTCACATAATTCACACGAATTCTCCTTCAATTCTTCTCATAATTCATATATCACAAAACTAAGAAAACTTACATCAGTGTTTGCGACACTGTTTGAGTATTGTATGTTAGAGAGGTTTACCTCTGATACCAGATGAACAACATGGATTAAGAAAATCCAAATCAACCACAACAGAAACATATATAGACATATTCAAAGAATTGGACTAAAAAAGATGTCCAATACTGCGATCTGAGCAAAGCGTTGATTGTGTTCCACACAATCGACTGTTAGAAAAGCTTTGGATTTATGGGATCAGAGGAAATACACATCAATGGTTTCTGTCTTATCTTGATGGGAGAAAACAATATCTCACATTAAAGATGATGGACAAAACAGCATACACTGCTCAGATTTGATATCGATAAGTGTAGGGGCACCGCAGGGAAGTGTTCTTGCACCTATATTGTTCTCTTTATATATAGCAGATATTGTTAAATACCTAGATGAATACAAACTAACACTTTACGCAGATGATCTGTCGATCCTAGTAGCAGAAAACTCCTTAGAAGCCACCCAACAAAATTGTAACGATTTAATGACAAGAATTATACTTTGGTTCTCAACAAACAA